ATTTACCGATGAGAAGCAAAAAAGAGGCGTCAGGTGCTAAAAAATAAACCTTAGACTCAAACGTTAGAACAGGCTGTTCCCTGCAGCACGCCGCAAAGAAAACATCTAAAAATGTGCAGTTTCATGCATCGGTAAAACACTCGACTCCAGATACACGACGCCCAGCTGGAAACACTTCAGCTGCCCGAGATTCACAGAATTTACAGAAAATGTTACATTTTTGTGATTTATATCGTTATCAGACGATAGATGTTTTATATCGGGATATGAGATTTAGTCATATCTGTTAGTCATTTCCTGTTTTATTTTGATGGTCTCTGGTCTCTCATTTCTGCTTCCCTTGTCTCATCAAGTGCCAAATCACAACAGCCCCTCTTCTGTCATTAGTTCCAGCTGTGCCCCCGCCTGTTTCCTCTCCCTCATTACCTGGTGTATATAAAAGCAGAACGCAGCATAGAAATACTTGAAGTACAAGAACATTAAACCTAAGAGAAGTACTTGAGTAAATGTACTCAGCTACTTTGTAAGATTAACAGTACCCGAGTCTGATGGCTTGGCTGGTGCCACCACTGCCCCCCTTGTAGACACACCCCTGCTTTGTGACACATGTGATCCAAAGCTCAGCTGAGGCTGTAACTGAACCGCGCTGGCCATCATTTGGGCCATAACATGACGTCACAGATCAGCTGCCGCTCATTACATCACGCTCGGCTCGCGCTCGTCATGTGACGCTTTCTAAATCTCCAAATTAAACCTGCAAACAAACAATTACTCGAGTCAACGAGAACAATTAATTGTACGAGGCCTCCGGGGATCTAATCTGCATATCGAATGAGCTCATTATCACAGCGGCGAGAGACGGAGGAGCCACTGCAGGAGCCGCTCGCTGTTAGCCTCGCATTAATCAGCTGTTTAACCTCCTCGCACCCACAGCAAACGCTCCACAATTAAACTATCAGCTGTTAAATCTCCACCTGAACCATCTGTCAAGTCTCCGTCCATGTGACGCGTGTGGGGTCAGACAGAGAGCGAAGGCTGATTCGCTTCAGTGAAGGCGACAACACGGAGGAGACAGAAACTATGACAAACACACAACACGAGCTCAAAGGATTAAATGAACAAACAGACACTCTATCCTACATTATTGTTATTGTATTTTTTCTACCAGATTAGAGTTTTACAAAGTGCTACAGTTCTCTGTTGTCCTAAAGTCGATAGAGCAAATATAGAGAACAGATTTCCAAAGTCAAGAGCACTGTGGACAACTTAAAGACCAGAAAATCCCACAGGGGCCCACGCATCTGAAAGCTTCACCCTAACTGAAACAGAACAGGAAGAGATTTCCTTTAAACATAAACCAAACAGGCTGTTGGCTTTAAATAACTACTACTGCTGTTAAAGTCAGTGTGCGACCCATCTGCCACTGGTACACAAGAGTAATGAGCAATATCTAATATATATCAAACTAACCATCTCCTATTTATATGAAAATGGATCTGTACATACTAGTACAGGATTTCAACCTGCAGTACCAGGACCCAATGGGAATCATTGCTGTAATGGAAACAATTGAGACAAAGCAGTGACTACGATCGGACTCGTTTCCTGTGTGGAAGAGTCTCCTATCCTGTGACTGACTTCAGTTTTATTGCTGCTCACACGAGTGCTGTGTAAGATGACTGTGACGTCACAGAGAACATCCCAACAACGAAGGGATTTTGGTTTTACACCTAAGAGAAAACACCTGAGTCTTTTTAAAACTGAACACCTGAGTGAGAGGTGGAGCATCTTCAGGAACCAGGAAGGAGTCCTGCTGCCTTCAGTTCAGGTGTTTTAGGAGAACGTGGAAGCTGATCATTCAGGAATTTGTATGTGAGGAGAAAGATTTTGAACTTTAATTGTGGATTTAACAGGAAGCCAGTGAAGAGAAGTCAGTATGGGAGGAGTATGCAAAATAAATAAATAAATAAAAATAAATAAAATGCAAAATTACAATAAGACCAAAAATATGCTAAATGATATTAAGAGGTTCCTAAAATACTACCTAAATTACACTAAAAAATTCATATCTGCGATTCAAATAAAATTTGTCAAAATACTGAAAAATAAACCACAAAAGTATTAAAATAAAAACTAAAGAAAAATATAAACATTACAAAATAAACACACACAGACAAGATCATTATTAAAATATGTATATGTATAGAGTGAACAGGCTGATGATGTATTACTGTGGTCCAGAAGTAATAAAGCATGAAGTAGTTGTTCAGCATCACTGAGACGTTTCTCATTTTAATGATTTAATTAATCGGTTGACAAAAATCAGTTCTACATATTTGTTTGAAGTGCGAGGTAAGGGATGGCTCGGACTCGGACATCAGTGGCTGTTTGCAGCTCTCACCTGTGCTGACATCATCAGGTACATCCTCTAACTTGTTTATCTTGGTCGTTACCTTCTCTGAGACCAGCGTACTCAGCTGTTCTGGGTGGGAGTCACTGGGCATGCTCAGTGAGGGGTACGTGAAACCTGATGTGTTATCATCTGGAGCAGCGACAGACGGCTCCAGATTAACACGCCATTTTTTATCATTTACCTGCAGAAAGGTCAGAGGTCACTAGAACGGCTGGCCAAACAGATCTGTTCAGTGATGACATCCCATCATAACCTCCTCTGTGACAGCAGCTGAGGCCGACGATGGCCTCCACCTGCAGGTTAAATGTGGGCGTCGCTCACACTGGTGTCCTCAGCCGTGATTGGACCACATGAAGAGCGAGCTAAAGGAGGTACGAGACGCCTCTGGAGTCGCTGGAAAGGAACAAAAGTAAATAAAGGTCATAATTCGACACTGCTGAGGCATCTGTGAGAAATTATTTCAGAACAATTTGATGCACTGTCTCCAGATCACACACTCTTTGGTGATGGTCCCATGATGCACTGCAGCAGTGCTGTGTGCCTCCTCTCTCGGAGGCAGGAGGGGCAGTGATGGGGTAAGCCACACTGCTTTTTCCACACTTTTCAAAGTTTTTTACTTTGGTTGCAATTTGACACCAAGAGGCTGCAGACCTGTGACCTGTCCAGGATACACGCCGCCTCTCACTCTGTGGCAGCTGGAATAGGCTCCAGCACCTCCACTGGCATTGATGGGTGGGGCCAGTGTCTCAGGGCAACATAACAGAGAAACTCATAAATCAGAGCTTCCCAAAGTCTGGGGCCCAACAGCCATTGCAGGGGGGCGGTGTGAAAAGGGGGGAAAAAAACAAACGCTTTGGGGCGCCCACACAAACGCAAAGCAGGAGATGAAGCATCGCTGAATATGTTTCCAAACCAACTTCATTCTAAGCCAAAGACTAGAAAATATGGTGAAGCAAATCTTCCCTTTGGCTTCACCTGCACAGGTGCTGAGGTAGGTCTCCCTGCAGGGTTGGTTTCCCCTGTGTCGGGAGCAGCGCTGGGCTGTTCACATCACGGACAAACAGGATCTCACATTCTTGATCTTTAGTTCACAAACACTTGTTGTAATGACTAACTACTCCTGACAGTTTGGAGATGTTAGCTCTTTATACAGTAAAGTCACAGCGGGATACAAATAACATCAGGCTGATCCTGACATGATTTGTCCCCCGGTTCAAATCACGGACAAACAGGATCCCACAGCTGTTTATGTTTTTAAACCCATTTTGCACAGAGAGGCATTTTTTGAAAAATGTATTGATGCAATGTTGAATATTATTACACAGGAAAAAACCAACTCACAGCGTGACGCCTCTGCCTTTGTAAGTGGAGGGACAGTAACTGCGTGTAAACCTGCAGACAGTCAGATTAACAGTATTTTGTCTCCATCTGCCATTCTGCAATTCATCTCATGTAAACAATAATGTGGCCACAGCGTGACGTGAAAAAGGCTCATACCTTTGACGTTGCATGAAGAACTCTGTATTCCTCGTCCACACATAAACGCAAAAAGGAGTTTTAAAAAAAATCTCCGTTTTCGGTGATTCGCCGTTTACGTGGACGAAACAGCTGCGTGTTCACAAATACCCGTGTAGGTGCGGACGCAGCGTGAAAGAGTTAGAAGTTTATTTTATTACTGCCTATGATTTATTGCAGATTACTTGTATTTGCTTAATTGTTTACTAAATGTTTGAGGTGTGAAATAAACCGCAATGGAGCAAAAAATGGGAGTGTGTGGTTGGAGGATGTGTTTGTGCGCGAACATTTTTCTTGTAAAACAAAGGGTGGCCCAGCAAAAACAGTTTAGGAACCGCTGTCATAAATGAAGGAGCTGCAGAGGAAGGTTGGTGTTTCTACAGTTTGAAGCTTTGCTGCCATCTAGTGCTTCCTATTACAATCACAGCTGTGATATCTCATCAGCTTCACTTTAAAAACAAGACGAGCAAAAAGCTGAAAAATAACTAGAAACCCTATAAAACTGGTACAAACAAAGTAGAAATCGAACGTGGATGAAATCATTTTTTAAAAGGACGAAAACTCGAAGGAAAAAGACTTTTTCTGCATCAAGTAAGCAATACACACTAGGAAGAGGCCACCTCCAAAATAAAACTCCAAAATAAAAAGTCCTTTCTGAGCAAACATGAGTATTGACAAAAACACAACATCATCACATCCACTCGTCGGAAGTCCTGAAAATACTGTAACATAATAACATGAAATTATTTTTTAAAAAGGTGAATAAAGTAACACAATCTCTTAAAATATTAAAAATAGATGAAAATGTTTAATAAAATATTTAAACAAATAATAAAAATTACTTAAATTATATACATGACTTTTAACAAAATCATAAAGGAAATATTTTATTGATTATAAACTAATAAAAGTAAATTTGTTGACATATTCAAAATACCTTTTGAACTAAATTAATAAAATGAATTTAAAATATTAAATTAAAATGTCAACGACTAACAACTTGATATTTTAAAAGCATAAATTATTTTACGTAGTCAGAATGACAATTATTGCGAAAAATCTTAGCGGAAGTGTGTTGTTAGCTTTTTAGCTTGTGGTCGTTCAGGCTGTTGTTGTGGAGGGAAGCAGTTAGCTCCGTTTGCTCGTCCTGTGTTTGGAGGATAGTTCGCTGCTGGTTTTCGCTCATTCGGAGTTTCCATAATGGCGTATCAGCTGTACAGGAACACGACGCTGGGAAACAGCCTGCAGGAGAGTCTGGACGAGCTTATACAGGTAACACTGCCCGCGGACACGGAGCCAGTGCTGCCAGTTGGTGGCATTCAGCTCCCCGCTAGCCTGTTAGCCGGATGAGCTAACAGTAGCCTGCTAGCTGTACCATGTTTTAGACTCCAGAAAACAAGCAAAAAATCAAGTTTTTACCAGAGAGGGGTTACAATTTTGCAGGTGTGAGCTGTAGGGGATGAATAAAAGCGAGGAGGTCAAAGTTCACAGACGTACAAGTTACTGTTCTGTAACAGTGATGAAGGTTCTGTTTACCTGGTTCAAGGGTGAGAAAGCCTTTTAATTAAACGAGTTGACGCTTCTTTTTCACGTCTGAACCTCACATCATGCTCTGACACTCGCCCTCTCAGGTGTGCCGCACTGTGGGAGAGTATAGTTTGTTCTTCAGGTGGTGAGAAATACGAGGAAACATCTGACTCTTTAACTACACGTAGACCAATCAGTGCTCCCTCCAGAGGCAGAGGAAAGTCCTGTGTGCTCAAAGACCAAACCACTTTAGTGCAAAGTGGCAGATGACCTGAGTACAGCACATCTGTTTAAATCACTTCAGAAAAAAATTGGCTTGAAAATGTAAATTGTGCTTCTGATTTTTCTGTAAAGTCTTGTTTCAAAAAAGTCTTAAACCTTTTAGAACTAACAAAGTGTTAAGACTTTAGTTCAAAAACAATTCATGTTGGCAAAGATGCCAACACAAGTTTGAATGGCTGCACTTCACTGTTGTACCGAGTTCTACCAGATGGTGGCAGCACACCCACCGGTCTGCTGGGCTAAAATTTTAGGAACTGGGTGTAAAATTAGGAGAGTAACTACACAAACAAAAGTAATTCTCTGGTTTTGTTCCGTGTGCCATCAGCTGTCACAACATTCCTGTTTGTGAGTGTTGTCTTGTTGTTGCCCTCGAGTTCATCTCATTTCATTTGCACCTGTGCAGGTGAAATAGATTCAGTGGTTTCTTCTTCGAATGTTCACCTGACTTTGTGTTTTACTACAATAATCGCGTGTTCCCACCATTTCTTTGACCTGTTTATTATTTAAAAATCTTAAATTTAAACTAATAAATGTGTGTGTGTGTGTGTGTGTGTGTTCAGACTCAGCAGATAACTCCTCAGCTCGCTCTTCAGGTCCTCCTCCAGTTCGATAAAGCCATCAACACAGCGCTCGCCAACCGAGTCCGCAACAGGGTCAATTTCAGGGTGAGTCCATCTGTATTTTCTCAAGCTCCGTCTCCTAAAAAAAAAAATCATCCAACCCCACCTCTGTCTCTGTCTCCACCTCTCAGGGATCTCTGAACACATACAGGTTCTGCGACAACGTGTGGACGTTCGTTCTGAACGACGTCGAGTTCAGAGAGGTCACCGAGCTCGTGAAGGTCGACAAGGTCAAGATTGTCGCCTGTGATGGAAAGAGCGAGTCGACCCACAACAAAACTGATAAATGGCAAGTACAACACACACACACACACACACACACACACACACACACACACACACACGTGCGCATGTCCATCAGAATCGGCCCTCCTTGTTCACCTTATTTGAGTGCAGCTCTTAAAAATCAATTGTACCAAAATCGTTTTTGTTCATTAAAACATTTTCTGCCGACACGACGCAGCAGCACGAGCTCCTCGTGCTCTGCGGCAGACGTTCTGCTGTTTCTGTGCTTCAGCTTTACTCGCTTTGTTCCTTTTTTTTAATGCTTGGACTCTGAGAGGAGCTTTGCATGATTGTTCAGAATAATCCGTTATCTCAGCGTGCGTGTTTTAACGTTCAAAAACACTTTGCTGTCTCTTCATTTACACACGTGCAGAAGTGCAGCTACTTCCTACCTTGACCTTTCACAATAAAATCCACAGATAAATATGCTGTTTAATAAGTAAAAAAGGCTTTAAGATCTGATTTGTGAAAGCAGATGCTGATACCACAGCATAAAGATGCAGTCAACATAAAGTTGCTCCAGCAGATTCTCACATTTTCTTCTTCTGTGCCGGTGTTATTCGTCGTTAATGTCGTCTTTTCTTCTCTTTAGATTTGGGCGGCCGGCTCTCTGGGAGTTCCTCTGTGGGACAAAGTCCCGGATGGACCTGGACTGTACATATAATTTATTACAGCGGTCACCTGTGTGGGTGTGTGCGGCAGTTTGCTTTGTTTTTTATTGTTTACGGAAGTTTTTGTTCAGTTTGTTGTGATTACTGAGTCATGAATAAAAACTTTATTTAAAACACAAAGAACCTCTGAGCATTCGAGCTCTTCTGTTCCATCAGGTATCATGACGGACAAAGGTTTTAAAAAAAGAGGTGGGGTGGGGGTTGATATTCTGAGCTTTAAATTCAAAAGAAAAACAAATCCCCCCCCTCAAATTTGTGAGAAAAAGCTCAAATTTACAAGAAGAGATTTCAGATTTGCGAGAATTAAAAACCTTAAACCAAGAGACAAAAACTGAGATTCATAAAAAGCTTCGGATCTGTGAAAATAAGATTGTGAGAAACACAAAATTAAATGAGTCTTAAACCGCGATTTGTTCAGATTATAAAAGGACCGAAGACGTTTCCAGAGTTTTTTCTGCTTTATTTACTACAACATCAGGACTGACATCATGTAGAAAAGAAATCACGGTAAAAACGACACGATCTTGCTCCTCAGCTTCCTCGTTTGCTTCATAAACAAACAGAATATCAACACATCTTTGTCTCGTATTCGCTGCGGTGAGACTGATTATTGACGTCATATTTGGACCCATAATACATCATCTGTATGTACATCTCAGAAAAGAGCAGATATAAAATATAGATATTATAACTCTGTGTAAACGGATCAATACTGCACAGAGACGGAAATGGCTTCAGCTTCCAAACATTACAAAAAAAAGACTTAATCCAGACGAGATGTTGAGAAACGGGACGTCAGCGGCCGCGTTTCAGCAGAACCTGCTCGAGAAAAGTCTCGTTTTAAGTGTTTTCAGCCTCTCAGAAACTCGCCGACGTCGCAGCGATCAGAAGCTGCTGACGGTCAGTTCTGCTCTTTATACAACATATCAAAAAGAAACAAAAAAATAGGTGCCAGGTGTTAGCTCCAAGAGGAACTCTTTCATTATAGCTCTATTTATATATATGCACGCAAATGTTACATACTCTGTCACCAGTTTATTAGGAGCAGCAAGTTTAAAAAATGGAAGCAGCACTGAATTTTCTGCTTAAATTTTTGTTAAAAAAGAAAAAACTGTAGAAACTGCCTGTAAATATTCTCTTCACCCTCCCACAGCGAGACGCTGAGCTTGAGATTTCAAACTAAAATCCGACTTCCAGGATCTCACGTGTGCTGCTTTTCTTTTAAATTTGGATTTTTAGCACCAAACCAGACTTGGACAGTCTGTAAATCTGACTCATTAAAAACGTAACCTTCAACCTTTGCTTCACTTCAGGCGTCCGTTTCTGTTATTTGGTCGACATCGCTGAGCAGGATACGTGTGAAGCAGCTCCGACGTGTTGAAACCTCCATGATGGCAGATTTGCTGCTGTGTTCCTAATAAACTGACCTCCGAGTGTAGTTACTTCAGATCAGTAGAGTCAAAGTGTTTACAGAGAGATAAGAGCAGCTGCTGTGAGCGGCAGAAACCGTGAAATGCTCCTTTAGTCGCAGAGCTCTCAGCTGGAAGTGACGCGGACGTGTAAAGCTGCTTCAGAGCTGCCAAATGTTCATCGCACAGGTTTGGGACCGTTTCTGGTTCCAGATGTAAAAACATTAAAAGAAACATCCACCAGTAAAGTCCAGCCTCTGTTCTTCCTCCCAGTCTTCCTGCCTCTTCCCATCGCCTCAGTCGAGGAATCGCTGGCAGGCTTTCTTCCAGCGGCAGGCTGTGCACCACTGGTCTCTGTGCTCGATGCCGTAAACCTTACGACACTTTTTGGCCTCGCCGCGAATCCTCCTGAAAAAACACGGAGACAAAAGCTTCACGCACATGAAAGGAAGCTGTAAGCTCGAGCCAACATAGGACAGCAGCTGGCCAATCAGACGCCACTGTGTCATCGAGTTTTCCTCCCGTGGCTTCGTTATCAGGGACGTGTGCACTGAGCTCAGTGATCAGCTGAATGGGAGGATCTCATAGACTACAGCCATCTCATATATACAGTCTTTGTTCTACAAAAGAGAAGCACTGACCTGGAGGGGGCGCTCTGATGCTGCAGCCACTGCTCTCCCACGCTGACCGAACGCACCCGGAATGACAGACTCTGAAGAAGAGAGAGGAAGAGGAGGTCAGATTGGAGCTTTTCATTGTTTCTCTGTTGCTTTCTGAAGCACGAACAAAAAAAACAGAAGCAGGGCGCCGTGACCCGTTCTCGGGGACGGAGCCTCGATTAAAGTGTTCATATTCCACGTTGGAAAGTCAAAGAGAAGCACGATAATTCAAAAAACAAACATAAAATGACCAAAGCAGAGACAAAGAATCGAAGACATGAGATAAAAGCGCCACAGAAGGATGAAAAAGACAAGACGCCTCCACACGTTCATGTTATTGTGTGTCTGGCTCGTCGTCAGGAGGTGTTTTGTTTTTATTTTCAGGCCCAGCTGCCTGTTTTCAGTCGTGCAGTCGTGCATGAAGCAGCTGTTTACGGCCGTCACCGCTGAGCAGTGTCCTCTGCCGGCCTGCAGGTGGCAGCGCTGCTCTGCAGCGCACAGCTCATGGAGAATTAATCACAAATGATGTGAGGGGATTTTCCTGCCTGAATGAAACCATGAGGGAGGAGTACGCACCCTCCTTTCTCCAGAATGAAACCAGTTTGAACAGGCTGCGGTGGCAGGAAGCAAACAATCGGCTGCTGTGCACACTCACCGAGAAAACACCGAATTGGAGAAGTGAGGGCAGAGAGCCGGCTGTGGGGGGATGCACCGTAATTAGCTTTAAAAACTTGGATAGAACCTAAAATTCTCAGGGAAAGTCCTCCGTGCTGCTTCCTCTGCAGATCGGGGACAGAAAAGTCTGTTTTTAATGAAGACAGAGCCTCACTGTGCACACACACACACACACTGTTAGGACACAACCTTCACTCTTCTTTAAGGATAACTTTGGGTTAATTGTGGACTTTCCGCCGTAAAGACCCGGCCGAGGGCAGCAGCTTCGTCAGAGCTCTGTCACGCCGAGTTTTTGTGCCCAAAGCACAAGTGAGCCAAAATTTCACCTTACACCTCTGACACCCTGCTGCGGGACGCTTTTAGTTTTTATGTCGGTTCCACCTCAGACTGAGAGACGTTCGGTGTCCGGGTGCCGCCATGCTAGCAGCAGCAAACTTTTCCTGCTTTAATCGAAGCTTTTTTCTCTGATGGATCCTGAAATACCTACGAACGCTCCAGCAGGGAAGCAACAACTTCTGTGGTGCAGTAATGATGAGTCTGACTCATTCTGTCGGATTAAAGGGATGAAACAGAAGTTTGCTTCACGATCCTTTTTCTGAATTTCCTTCCGCTACAAATAGGGGGGGGGGGGGACAGGTGAGCTGGTCTCATCGTGGACCCAACCAATTACACTGTGGGTCTCACTGAAGGATACATCTGGTGCCAGACGTCATGGTAACCGGATACTGTTTTTTTTAGCCCATTCGACGCAGCTGTAGTGTCTAACCGTCCACGCTGCTCCTCGGTAGCTTCGAGGACACAAAGTGTGAGCTCAGCACACCTTCACAATAAAACCTGATTATTAAAAAACTGAAGTCTGAATTTTGGGGAAACTTTCTGATCGAACTGTTTTTTGTTTTTCGACCTTTAAGCTCACACCTCCCCCAGCAGCAGCTGCATCCTGCTTCAACTACAGCGACACAGACACCTACTGCAGAGCCGTGTGATTAAAAACAGCCAAAGTTCTATTATTAACTCAGCTTATCAACAACTGCTCTGACTTTACATCCAGGTATCCGCGTCGTGTTGGGGGCGATATCAGCTGAGCCTGCAGACGGGCAGCACCCACGCCTGCTGAGCTCCGCTGTTTATCCTCTGTGGGCGTGCTGAGCCCGCAGCAGAGACTATTTAGATACTTCTGTGTTTATGTTTTCACAGATAACAAAGGTTCAGATCCCTGATCGCAAGTTAGCGTGCTCCTCGCGGCATCATGAGCCTGGATAAATGTACCCGTGATGGCGTAAAAACGTGGAAACCACATCAAATCAAACATGGAGATCCCAGATGTGCGGGAGCGACCTGTTAATAACGAGTTCTCTCAGGTTCCTATAAATACAGATCTTAGTTGCTCTGAAGATTTACCTGTTTGTGGCAGGTGGTGGGCGGGGCTGTCCAACGGCAGGATGGTGTGGCTGCTGCCGCTGACACCACGTGTTGACTCGGAGGAGGAGCCTAAACACAAAAAAATACGAGTTAGCTATAACAATAAAAGTAATCATTAATATTTTACAGCCGAAAAAACATCAACACACCTGGTAGGAGTGCTCTGATTGGACCTGCCAGAAGCTGCCAGAAGACGAGGGGGCGGAGCAACTCAGGGCGGCACAGGAGGGAGAGGAGGGAGACGGTGGAGACGGTGTTGGTGGGCTGGAAGGCGAGGACGGGGAGGAAGCCGGTGAGGCGGGGGAGGAGCCGCTGTGTCCAGAATGGGGAGGAGACCGTTGCTGCGGATGCTCCCATTGGTTGATCTCAGTGTAGTAAAAATCCTCCTCACTGCGGGAACAGCGCTCATGTTCGCCACCACGGCTGTAAGAGGTCAGAGGTCAGAGGTTATTATTAAACAAATTCCTTCCTTACTGTCAGAAAAACTTTCTGAAGAACAATTTTATATAAATACAGTTTTTAAAAATATATGGAAGCCCATTGATGTCAGAAATTTCATTAAAATACTAAAATTTCAGGATTTAAAAAATAAATGTAAATATGAACACATTGCATATCTGTGTGGGAGCAGCTGCGGTCAGACTTGATATAAAAATGTAAAGATATAAATCTGAAGTTTTCAAATGTTTCTGGCAGTAATGAGCTTCCATATTTAGCTCGTCCTGAGGCTGAGCAACGCCAGAGAATGGAGCCGCCGTCCGGTGAGGCTTACCACAGGTGTGTCGTCCTGATATGGCGTTTAATTCCCACCACAGACGTCAGCACTTTACCGCAGCTCGGCCACAGACACCTGTACGCCACCTTCACCGAGTTCTGCAGGAGGAAACGCATCATCACCACCGGCAGCTTTCGTGGTCTTCGACACTTCGACAATCAATAAATCGTTTTTCTGTGACTGCTGTAAACCGCCACTTACCCTGCGTTTCCGTGGTGCTGGCTCATCAAACAGCACCTGGTCCAGCTCCATGTCAACACCCTCATCAGGAGGCGTGGCCGGGCTGGCGTCGGACTCTTTGATTGGCGGGGAAGGAGCCGGGCTTCGGTGAGCGTGGCCGACGCTCCAGTAGCCGCTGTCGGAGAGCTCGCCACCGCCACATTCTATTGAAGCTGCTGAAACAGCAAAAACAACAAAAACCATCAGAGGGAGAAACACCTCCAGCCTCGCTTCGTGGAGGAAAAACGTGTTGCTTGTTTGTTTGTTTGATGTTGTGTACCTGTGAGGTCAGGCTGGGCGGGGCTGTGCAGCAGCGGGCTGCAGGACAAACTGCTGAGAACCATCGCTGCCATCAGCTCGTTCATGTCCACCTCATGAGGACTCCTCTGACTGCGGAATGACAGGAAGCGGCGTTTAAACATGTTTACAGGTAAACACAGAGTAAACGATAAATAAACACCAGAGGCGGGACGCGTCTGACCTTTTTGGGACATCGATGCTGGAGGACACGGATCTGATGCAGGATGAAGGGGAGCTGTCGGCTGAAGATTCACCTGCTCCTCCACACTGGAAATACATCTGAGATCAGACAGACACGGCTCACTGTGATTGGCTCAGAAAGCTGCCAGTCAACACAAACCTCCACGAACAGAAATACTCTTAATTTGGACAGACGCTGCGTTTTCCCCACATTATTGCTCAGCTCAACATCCAGGACCAGCACTCACCTTTAATCCAAGATGGCCGTCTGCTCTGCTTGTCGCTTGCTGTCCCGCTGCCGCCATCGTCACCACAGTCTCACCAGTCTCCAGGTTGACCCCCGGACAGGTAGAGGTCACAAGTGCCCCAAGAGGAGAACGCTTCCCCAGACGAGCCTTTGGTATCATGTCTGCAAGAAACAAAGGAGTCTCTGTAAGCATAGCCAGGAAGCTGCAGGTGAAGGAAACCACCATGTGGCTGGAAGAAAAACACCTGCAGGGCTGCGGCTGGAGGTACTGGTTCTGTCCAGGAGAGGAACTGCTGCAGAACCAGGACCTCCACCAGCAGCTCGTCAGCAGGACATCACTGTCTGCTTCGGTCACAGATATTAGCAGAGGAGAAATTTATAAACGGTGTTTAATGAGTCAGATAAGAAAACCTGAAGGGACCGTGCATGCCCCGCCCACGCCGTGTTGGATTAGGACCAACGCCACACCTCCGCCTTTGTGTAAACACTGCATCTGTGCACAAACTCACGGCTAAGATTTATCTGCTGACCCTCTGAGAGGCCCATCCCACAGGTTGGGCACCAGTGGACGACCTATCTAACTGTCAGTCGACAAAAGACGCTCCGCCTGCAGATATCCACTCCGAGTACACAAACACGCTGTGTACTTTTATCGTTGTTGTTTTTTAGTTTACTGGAGGATCTGAATCGTTCTGCTGGGAAAACGTTGGCTGTGGATTAAAATCTGAGTGAGTCACAGGCTGCAGAGTCATTTACAGTCAGGCTGTGTGTGTGTGTGTGTGTGTGTGTGTGTGTGTGTGTGTGTGTGTGTCATTACCAGCTCACTATCACTGTCACTAACAGGGTAGAGGATTAACATGAAGAGAGCAAATGGGTGTAACTGTCCATCAGCCTCTTTTTATCAGTTTACATCTGTTAACATGTGTGACCAAAAGTATGTGGACATGTTCCTCTGTGTATTTCTTTCCTCGGGTGGGGTGGGGTGGAGGTGGGGGGTGATTGTCATCTTGAATGAGCAGAGAAAAACAGCTGGTAGAAAGCTGGAAGGCCATGGCTGATGATCATTACAAGCTGCAGCATAAACAATTTCTCCATTTCCCGTCATTCAGAGCGAGCAGTCAGGGAAGCGCTGTCAGGGGTGGCGTCCACATACTTTAGCTTCACTTCAGGCTTTCAGATGTTGGAGTTTAAGGCAATCCTGAACTCTTCCCTGCACACTTTTCTGATGCTGACTTCTTTAAATGGTGTCCTATTTGGTGATGTCAGTGACCAAAGCACCAGAGTGTCCCTTAAAGTTCAAACACACACACACACACACACACACACACACACACACACACACACACACACACACACACACACTCTTCTACACAGTATTATAGTATTAAAGGCGCTTTTTGTAAAAACTCTCCAATGAGAACTTTCCCCAGAACGCTGCAGCTCTTTGCAACAATGTTTCAGTGCAGCGGTCAAACACGGAGATCAAGCGTGGTGGAAATACGAATCACGCACACATATTGCGCTAACACGCGGTTAAATATTGTTGGCGTGTTCTTGTCTTACACACCTTGTGGCTCACAGTGGTATTACACGAGAGCGCAGTCCGCCCGTGTTTTAGCTTCAGGCGACCTCTCTGCAGCACAAACACACGTTTCACTGACTTTAGAAGGTTTGAAAGTGGTTTCGGCTGCACGGCTGTTTCACATGAAGTACCTTTAATGACTTGGGACAGGACGTCAGCTGTTTCCAAACAATGTCTCCAGCAGAGGTCAGGAGCGTCACTAACACCCAGCTGGAGGTTATCTACATGTGCAATCACAATAAAGGGCTATTCTATTTATTGTGTGGATGCCCTCAAATTATTCTTCTTTAAAAAATTCTGCTCTTTCTGCTAATGCGTGCTATGACTTTTGGTGCTCATAACTTCTATACTTTTTCAGATATTGAATTTTTTTTTGCAATATTTTTTGCCCATTTCTGCCATATCATCAGTGGCCTCACTGATTTTCCTTGCCGGGTTGACCTGTGTTTCAGCTCAGTGAGATGAGCATCCGTTCTCAGACTGGGAGGCCGGGGTTCAAATCCCGCTTATGGCAAAATTTCTTTCAGTTAACAGTAAAAGTTTTTTAACTCTTTTCAACACAAATTTCAGCTTTTTCACCCATTTTCAGCAGAATTTTCAGTTTTTCCTGCTGTTTTCAGAAAAAAAACTCTTTTCAGCCCAAATTCTGCTTATTCACCTCTTCTGCAAAAATTTCAGCCTTTTCACCTCATATCAGCACAAATCTCAGCTGTTTTCAGAAAAAAAAACTCTTTTGAGCAGAAATTCTGGTTATTCATCTCTTTTCAGCGCAACTTTCTTCTTCTTTACCTCTTTTGAGCAGAAATTCTGCTGATTGACCTCTTTTCTGCAAAAATTTCAGCCTTTTCACCTCATATCAGCACAATTCTCAGCAGCTTCTGCTCATTTCAGCAAAATTGTCAGTCTCTCCACCTGTTCTTTGTCAGAATGAGTTTGGCTCAGTGAGACAAGTGGCTGCCTTGAGGGTCAGGTTCGAATCCTGCTCAGGACAACATTTTTTTTTTCAGCAAAAAATTTCTGCTTCTTCACCTGTTTTCTGCAAAATTTTCAGTTTCTTCACTGCCATACAACTTTTTGCAATTTTTTAACTTTTTCAGCAGACATCTTATGCGTTAAGGCATCCACACAGCATTTTCGCAGGAAATGCAAATTTTTCTAGTTCTAGTTTAAATCAGTAAATTTTTATCGGTCTCAGAAACACGCCACTCATGAATGTGGTATTTCGATTTCTGTCCTGCGTCTCCATAGTTACTGATCATATTAGAAGTTGTCTGCCTATATTCACCGAGTTTTACCGTGAGAGCGCGCTCTGTTTCTCCTCTGGCTGAACTGCAGCCAATTTCTGTAAAATGGAATTAACAGGAAGTGCAAACAACTCCGAAAATCAGCCTCACGGAGCCCACTTTGGGAATCACTCCTGTAGGATCCTTGCTTTTCAACATAAAGCACTTCGGTCTGTTAGTGCGCACACACCGACACACCCACGCACACATAACCAATCGGATTCCGTCGTCCCTCCACAATAAGAGCCCCGCATGAACAGGAAAATAGCAACTCTGCAGCTGATCATTAACTCCTGAAACACAAAGTGAGGCTCCTCCAACTCCTCACGCTGTGTTTGATCGGAAGGACGACGCAGAGGAGGAGGACACAAAAATATGAACCTTTTCACAAAAAACTAAAAAATCCTTCATTAAAAAATGATTATCAAACAGAAGAAGTGAGAAAAAGAGAAGCAGTCAGCCCGACGCTGTAACTCCCAGCAGCCCCATCCTCACAGCAGTACACACAGTCTACACACAACAAACAAACAAACAAATAAATAAATAAAAACACACGCGCACTGCGCATGCTTCAGCAGTAAAACTCTGAGAGCAGTAAAAGTGCTTTAAAGCGAGCAGCTGTCACCTACCTGCAGCCTGAGAAAAGCACCAAAAACAAGACTCGGAGGATTCCTGAGTGTGTGTCTGCTGCCGTTCAATGAGAGCTCAGAGTGTGTGTGAGGGAGAGTGTGTGTGGCTGCAGTTCAACACCTTCAGTGCGGGACAAGAGACCTGCAAGACCCGGACTGGATCCGGCTGGACGGGAGCTCCTGAAACCCTCAGAGCTGCACGCAGGCAAAGGAGCTGCTGTAGGAACTTTCAACCCAAACCGAAGGAGGGGCGGATGGGGGGAGGAGGGCATCACTCAGCGTCTTTCAGCTGACAGGGAGGTGGTGCAGGCAGGGTGGAGGCAGGGCTGATATTCAAACCGGCACATTTTCCCCTGCAGGTCCGGGGACCCTGACCCTGCTTTCTGTAAAGGCCACAAGTGAAGACTCAAAATAACAGAGGGGCAGCTCAGCAGGTCACACAGGGGTCAGCGCAGAGCCCCCACCCACCACCTCCACAGTGGACAGGACTTGGTTCAGGTTCGGTTTCTGTGTGAAGCTGGAAAGAAACTCTCACCTTCGAGGTCATGAAGTCTTTTTATTCTATTTTATGTGGTTTCTACTGAGCAGAGCTCTTCTACTGGGTTATTTTCTGGATTTTATTCTATGCTACTCTGATTTTGTAACTTTTATGGAGCTTTTTTGTGTCATGTTATGTGGCAAACTTACTGATTTAGATTATCTTGGCTTGTCTGTCCTTCCACAGGCTCGACCTTTGACCTTTCTCGCTCTGTTCTCACTGACTGACCTACATCCTGTAAAAAGGTGGAGGAAGTTCTCTCCTTCGGTCTGTCTGTTGCTGGAGCTCATGCTGGATGAATCCTGTTCATGGTTTTTCTTGGCCTTCAAACACGACCTGCCAGCATTTAGTCAGGACAAAGCAGCTGACTTGATATGCTCTTTGTTGTTTTTGGCTAAACGTCTACTGATCACAGCTGTGATGATGCGACTGGAATGGAGGTTTTTGCTCTCTAGAGCATTTTTTCCTCCTGGTTAAGTAAAAGTGAAATACATAAACTCAGACATTGCTGTTATTGAAACGCAGTTTTCTATTGTCAGCGTGGTCATGTGATCGCTTCAGTTTGCTTACAGGGTTATTTAAAAAGTTCAGATTTGTTTTCAGAAGTGGAGCCAAACTTTGAACCTGAAACGCAGACGGAGCTTTTTACTCATATCATTTATGAAGCTGCTGTATGTTTGTGTTTGCTGCTGTAACGGGAATCTTCTGAGTTTTTTGGATAAAGAATCCGTCATCCTAAATTTGAGGTGAGAAGAATACCTGCTGCCTCCACCTTTATGTTATTTGTGTTTTTTTATGCAGTCAGTCACAAACTTTACCGTCGTGACTCGCAGATGTCGGAGGATTTCTTTTTCTTTCTTTGTGCCACTAAACTGTGAATCACCAGTTTGGACTAGAGTGGCCCCTCAGGACAAAACACATACCAGAGTGAAAGCACAAGCATGAAGGGAAACAGACGTGAGATGAGACATTCCTCCAAATAAAGATGATTTTAAATAGAGGGAATAAATAACCGTAAATTTCAGACTCACCACTGTGAGTTATACTCTCAGGTAGGATGGCCTGCTTTGGTAAGTCGGAGGAACTGTCATTTATACAGTTTTATATATAAGGCGATACTTGGGTTGCTGCCTTCTTATATATGTTCCCTGCTTGTAATGAAACATGCTGGTCGGTATTCTCTTCGTCCGCATGGTTACTTGTTGCTTTCTGTTCCATTTGCCCGAACTGAACTTGGTAAAAGAGCTTTTGTCCATTTAGCACCCTCGACTTGGAACAAACTGCAGAAGGAATGGAAAATGACTGAATTCATTTCATTAAGTGATTTTAAATCTAAACTACGAATCCTTGAGGCCAAGTCCATAACATGCAACTGTTTCAATTAGATTGATTGTCATTTTAACTGACTTTTTTATTTTTTTGTATTCTTTCACTTATTGTTGCATGTGTGTTGTTGCTGCCTGTGTTTGAGTAATTTCTGTAACTGTGAGACATCTGCTGCTGCCTATCTTGGCCAGGTCTCCCTTGAAAAAGAGGTTTTTAATCTCAATGGGATTCTTCCTGGTTAAATAAAGGTTAATAAATAAAAATAATAAGCTCAGTGTTGATGAGGCTCTGAGGTAGACGTACTCTGAGTCCTGCTGGGTGACAAACTTTGGCTTCAAAGTTGAAATTTGATCTTCAGTTTGACAATTCTTACAGTTAATACACTCACACTGTTATTATCACAGACACAGAGGTTCAGATACTGTTTGGTCTTTCTGAACATTTTTCTATGCTCTCACTGTGTCAGGAAACAACAAGGTGCTTTACAGAAAACCCCCCAAATCATACAATCCGCTGTGGGCAGCACACGGTGACAGTGAGAAGGAAGAACCCGCTTTGCACAGGAAGAGACCTCCAACAGAGCCAGAATCAGGGAGGGGGAGGAGACAGGAGGTCTCAGTTACGTCTATTGCAGCATAACTAAGGGAGGATTCAGGGCACCTGGTCCAGCCCTAACTATATGCTTTAGCAAAAAGGAAAGTTTGAAGCCTAATCTTGAAAGTAGAGATAGTGTCTGTCTCCGAATCCAAACTGGAAGCTGGTTCCACAGAAGAGGGGCCTGAAAACTGAAGGCTCTGCCTCCCATTCTACTTTAAATACTCTAGGAACAACAAGTAGGCCTGCAGAGCGAGAGCGAAGTGCTCTAATAGGGTGATATGGTACTACAAGGTCATTAAGATAAGATGGGGCCTGATTATTTAAGACCTTGTATGTGAGGAGCAGGATTTTGAAAATTCTGGATTTAACAGGAAGCCAAAACAGGAGAAATCTGCTCTCTCTTTCTAGTCCCTGTCAGGACTCTTGCTGCAGCATTTTGGATTAACTGAAGGCTTTTCAGGGAGTTTTTAGGACTTCCTGATAATAATGAATTACAGTCGTCCAGCCTGGAAGTAATAAATGCATGAACGAGTGTTTCACTCTCAGACAGGTGGATTCTAATTTTAGAGATATCGATGAGATGAAAGAAATCACAGCTACATATGATCCTGCTGAAGGATAACAATCCCCAGTGAGAGTCACGTACATCAGAGAAGCACGAGCCTCCAAAACCCGCTTTCCTTGAGTTTATGACGTCATAGAACGTCATGTGACACAGTCCGGAGGATCGAAGACTAACAAACATGAACTCTGAACTCTGGTGCTCCCCGATCCACGCCGGGTTTTCCCATCAGCACCCGCGGTGCCGCTCGAGCCCCGTAGTAAACAAGCTCACCACGTGGGGGAGGAGCTGAGCTCTGATTGGCGGAGGTCTGGAGCGCAGGCACACACCCCACCGAGGACTGTTGTTTATTGTGAGCAGGAGCGGACCGACCGTCTGTGGCAAAGCTGCAGGACACACACACCAGCACCGCGTACGCATCTGCTGCGCCTGCGCATTTCGCGCTAAGGCTCGATTACTGCGCAGGAACATCTGCGGAGTTTCAGCGGTGTGATCCTGCAGAGATAACAAAGAGACGGCTGTGGGCGGAGCGTGTGTGCAGGGGTACAGAGCTGCACGTAGCACACACACACGCACGCACACACACACACGCTGCGCTGCTTGCGTGAGCTACGTGCAGGCCCCGCAGAGCCGCCGTTAAAGGAACATTCCGCCTCTTTTTGTGCTCCGTGTTAATGAGTCACGCCGACAGTTTGACCCACTTTCTCTGCGCTCGCAGCTCCCACTGTGTGACAGTTCACAGCAAAAATAACAGCCAGAAAAACATCAGCAGGACACAAGATGCGGAGAGATTTTAATCAGGAATGAATTATTTTCTCAGTCTGACTCAAAACTGTTTAAAGGCCTCCTGATATTTATTATCAGCTCTATGTGTGACTGTTTCAGATAGTTTTCAGCAGCTGCTCAGGAATTTATGGACAGATTTGCAGGAGAAGTGAAGGCGAGGTGGCCAAACATGAAGTGGTGCCCACATCAGGATATTTTCAGCATCAAACTGATAATTCCCTGAATTTCTGAAATTTTTGCTCTTTGTTTTTATCATTTTAAGATGGAAATGCTGCTCTTTTTTATTTTTATTTGTTTTAGGAAAACAGAAATCAGATTCAGCAAATCCTAGAATATAAAGAATAGTAAAGCCAAAAGGCTCTCTGTGGTGCTTTTAAACACCGTTCTCTGTAATC